GCAAACATTCCAGGCCTGATCTCTTTGGAGCTTTTTTGCACATTCTATTTCTTGTTGCATGGGATGCTTTTCCCATGGGTGCTCCACCAGCCCTGTTCCCTCACTGTCTTCAGTATTTTGTGCAGAAGTTGCCTTGGCCACGATGCCTTTCCAGAGTACCCCATTTGGTATTCAGACGCTATCCCTTTCCATACTTGCCTAACTTCCAACTCTTCACACATTTACTTGTGCATTTTGTCTGCAGTTTCTTCTCATATTTGCTCAGTGAGGGTAAGGATTTTTGTCTTTTTTCTTTTTGACTCATACCTCTAGCACCTAGAGTAATACTTGGGAGTTAAGTGCTAAATAAAAATGTTTCGAATGAATGGTGGTGAAAAGGGTTTCCTATGTTGGAAAGTATGCCACTTTGAGTATACATTTATGATATGATTGGGATGTATGTTTTGTTTGTCTGAGCTTACCATTTATTCACTCAGTAGCTGTGTTTTTTAATGGTAGTGGGCTGGGGATTATGCCCAGGGCATTTGAACTGAACTAGACCCCAGCCTCTTTTCTGTTGTTGTTTTGACAATGTTTCACTGAGTCACAGAGTTGCCCAAGTGGGCCTCAAGCTTGTTGACCTTCTTGCCTCAGCCTCCTAGAAGCTATCATTTCATGAATGCACTGATGACTTACTTGAGGCATATCTGACCTAATTAAGCCATGCAACTTGGTGAACTAATTAGCCAAGTATGTATTCAGTGACCTGAATCTGAATTAAAGCCAGACAGATGTATAGACTACAAATTCAAACTTACATTGACAGGTAAAATCATTAAAAGAGGGTTAGGAAGCACTGTGTAAAACTGGTGTGTAAAATAAGCCTCAGCTTTGATCTATTCTCTTCGTATGACCTGTTAAATGCTTTCACCCTCCATAATGAGCTTTGTCATTTAGTCAAATGCCAACTAATTAAGTATCAGATGAAACACTTCCTTGTAATAAAATCTATTAAAAGTTAACTTGTTTTTTTAGACACTCAAGTATATTTTAGAAAATTCATTGTTTCTTATTCTAATTTGATCACGAAAGCAAATCAAATTTTTATTTCTCAAAAAGTAGAGTTAAACTTCCTTGTTTTAGTTGGCCAAGGAAGTAAAACTGGATTCAAACTGTTCATTGAATAAACGTATATAAAAAATGAAGTAGTCAGAAATGTAAGATAGAGGTAAATGACTATAAAATAAGTAAAATGATTTGGAATCACAGGGCTCCAGGTGAGGGAAGGCAGACGTGTCCAGTTGAAGCACAGAGCAGAGGGTGGAGCTTGGTGGTAGGCTGCTTACCTTGCCTGGGCCGGGACCTGGGTTTCATCCCCAGCACTAAAAACAAAACAAAAAATGAAAGCAGAGATGTTAGACGCAGAAGACTCACAGTGAAATCCCTTTGCACGCATTCACTACTTGTGGAAGGATAAGTTTCCCTCCTGAGAAATTTTCCTGTTTGTGAATGAGGAGAGCAGTAATGGTATGGACCTCAGTGCTTTTGGCAGGATTCATGAGAACATCTCACAGTAGAGATATCAGAGTGGTGACTCGGGAAATCCTAGATGTAAGTGGTGGTGATAGCAGTTTGGGCCACGACTCTGTGCCACTTGCTCCCGAGAAGTTATTCTTTGTCTGTTGCTCATTTCCGGTAGGAGCAACTCCTTGCAGCCTCATTCAGCAAATGCACATTATGCATTCACCAAAGCAGGAGCCTCCCTAGGCCCTAGAAGCTTCCATGGTCACAGCACTAACTGGTGGTCAGCAAGGGCTGAATGACAGTACAAGAAAAAGCCAGCAGAGATGCGGAAATAGCCCCTGTGTCCATCTCCAGTGAATGGATGACAAATACAGTACACACATAGCCGGAACTGCTCCATGCTACCTGACGGGCGAGCTTGGAAGGCGTGCTGAGAGAAGCGAGTCTCAAAATGCCAAATACTATGTGATTCAGTTTACATGCGGTAACTAGAAGTGGCAAATTCTTAGAGACAGCAAGATCAGGGGTACTCAAGGCTGAAGAAATGGTGGCATGGGGTGTGACTGCCATGGGCATGGGGTTTCTTTCTGGGGTGATGAAAACATAGTAAAATGAACTACAGGCATGGCTAAATAGCTCAGAGTATAGTAAAAAGCATTGAATAGAGTACCTCAAATAGGTAAGTTGTATGGCATGCAAACTCTAGATTTTAAAAAGATACTTTTTTTTCAGATTTTTAAAAAATTTTATTTAAAAGGAAAAAGAGAAAAAACAAAACAAAACAGTGTAAGGGTACAAGTAATACAGAACTACAAAAAAAAAAAGTAAGAAATCACCAATTAATAGATTACACATTATCATCTTAGAGATAATTGCTCAAGTCACAGGATCAAAGCATACAAAGTGGACATTCAAACAGTGAGACTGCAAACAGTCGTGTTCAATGATCCAATCAAAAACATTAATATGGTCATCTATTTAACACACCTAAACACACTTGCAGTTGTATCCTTTAGAGCACTTTTTTTTCCTCTCTTTTTTACAGCAAAATTTACACATTTTGGGTTTTATTATTCCCATAGTTCTTGTTACTTTTTTTTGGAAGAGAATAAAATCAAATATGACAAAACAAAGTCAAAAACCAAGGATAAACAGTCAAAACCAAGGATAGACAGCGCATGATGTAAAAAAAGAGTACAAGGTTATCAACAATGGTTACCATAATGCCTCTTGCTTCCTTAAAAAGAATTGTCTATCTCATTAGGTATTACAAAGTTGAACAAAACAGTAGAGAACAAGACCAATAAAACCTAAATGTTGTGAATATTACAGGACTTCCAAAGGAGATAATAGTCAAACCAGAATGGGCATCATAGTGAATCTTATTGCCTTCAAAGTAGTTGCCTATACCCTCAAACTTGATACTAGCATACAGAACGGAACAGAGTCTAATCAGTCAAAACAAGATAGTGGAAGTATTACAGGACTTCAAAACAAGTTAATTGGAGATCAAAAAAGTTACTATAATATATCCTGCTAATGTTTTTTATTTTTTCCCTTAATTAAAAAATCATAAAAAATAACTAAATAATTTTTTAATGAATAAGGGAGAGATTGAGATAAAAGAGGACATAACAACATAACAAACAGGTCAAAGCATGACAGTTTCAGCAACCTAGTGCTTCACCACCAAATAACCCGACTTAATAGTAGTTACCATAGTGTCTTTTTCCTTGAAATATTTGAATATAACTTTGTATACTATAGCATCAAACATATCGAGACAGTGTAAAACCATTCAAGTGGATGAAAGCATTGTAGGATATTTAGAACCAGCTAAAAGATATTTTAAGAAAACTCACCTGGTACCATGTAGGTAGGAACCCAAAGTAGCCCAAATGAGGCTGAGGGTGAGCAGAAAAGCAACAGCACAGAGGAGGTCACAGGGTCAGGGGGTGCAGCCCGTGAGGAAGAGCTGAGGGTGCCAGATGGTATGGATGCCCACCTCGGGCACAGAGAAGCTGTGGTGCTGGAGGTTTGCTCACCTGTGGAAGAGCCAGAGCGCAGGAGTCTAGGCAAGAAGGAAGCTCTGTGAGTGAACCGAGGGGGCCAGGCAGTAACACCCAGGCAGCACAAGACTAGACATGAGGGCTGGGGAAGGAACGAAGATGAAAGGACGACTCCCGATAAAAAGATTCTGCTTGAAGGCCTCACACACTGTGGCCTGAGCTGTTGAAGCCAAGTCTTGCTTGATGAGAAGTGGGAGAAATGAGTTAAAATGCACACCAGGGCTACTTAATACCTGTATGTCAACATTTTGGTTCTGCCCAAAAAAATGTAAAAGATGCATTGTAAGAGTCATGTCATTGTTGGGCATGGTGGTGCATGCCTGTAATCCCAGCACTTGGGAAGCTGAGGCAGGAGGATTGCCGTGAGTTCCAGGCCAGTCTGGGCTACTGAGCGAGTTCTAGTGAGATTCTGTCTCACAAGAAAACAAAAAGTCATTACGAGGATCTACACTATTGACATTATATTTAGTTCATGGTCTTCTCTATGGCGCTTTGCTTCCTAACGCTACAGTAAAACTTTTTTCTCAATAAAAGCTAATAACCACCAGGAAGACATAAAGGATCCCTGAGATTGCTCAGGCCATCCAAGAATAGCAGCAATGTTTAAAAACTGTATTATTGGCAGTGAAGTATTTTAAAAGTTTTTTGTTTGTTTTGTTTTATTTTGTTTTTTAAATCATCACAAGTGAAAGTCGAGCCTATCTCTGTGCTCAGCTCTGGAGATGGTTCTGCTCATTAGCACTGGGACAAATGGATGAACATGTTCTTTGGGATGGGCCCAGTTCTGTGCGATCTAAAGAAACTGCTGTGTATGGATGGAGGTGGCTCTCTGAAAGCTGTGTTTGCAGAACCACATATTGTGGTGCAGGGTCTGGGGAGAAACCTGCAGTCTAAGTGTCATTACTTCATGGCAACCCCCCCCCTTTGTCCCGATGCTGGTGCTGACGGTGCTGTGGCAGGGATGAGCATTAAGCATATTACACAGCAGGCATCGGTTGTGCTGAGCAGTTTTTGGATGTCCATCCTCAGAACAGTCCGAGTCCTTGACCTGAGGGACAGAGAAATCAGATCAAAGGTCACATGGAAGAGAAAAGTATAGGAAATAGAGCAGAAGCTTCCGTCAGCCCTAGCTTCACCACCACCCATCAGGAAACCCTGGGAAAAGATCACTAGGCCTCCCGGTTTGTCTTGACATGTTAAACAGGACTCGCTGTGCGCTGAGAACCCTTTGTGTTGTTCTGAGGTCTAGTAAGGGTGTGCAGCTGGCTGTGCCTCGTGAGGGCAGAGAGCTTGGAAGCCTAGTGCACCGACACACCCCGTTCTCCCCCACCTCGATATTATAGAGGAGGATGGAAAATGGATTCAGTGTTGCCAATTCTTTATTTCACTTCTAATGTGTCTGATTTTTGGGATGTGGTTTTTTTTCAGGTTACTTGTCTGCAAGACTTTTTTGGGGATGATGATGTTTTTATTGCGTGTGGACCTGAAAAATTCCGTTACGCCCAAGATGACTTTGTCCTGGATCACAGTGGTAAGACCTTCATTGACTGTCTTCATAACCTATCGCTGGCCATGACGCTCTGGGGGGCTGAGGCAGGAAGACTGCAAGTTCTAGCCCCGCCTAGAAACTTGGTGACCTAGTGAGACTTTGTATCAAAATAAAAAATATAAAGAACTGGGGTGTGGCTCAGTTGGAAGGCTCTGAATGCAATCTTCAGTCTCCTGTTTTTGAAAAGGCTGGGGAGGTAGTAAAGTGCCCGGGTTTGCTCCCAGGCCCCATAAATAAGCCAAAAACCATAAAGGAGTAGTAACCAAATTGTTAATGGTGAGCACTTGATATTATTTTGTTTGCAGGTTTTAAATAAAACCAAGCACATGCATTATTTATATACTGGGAGGGAGAAGCTGTGTGTGGGTAGAATGAAAAAAAATCCTTTTTTCTTAATTTTGGTCAATATATAGAATTTTCAAATATTTAACAGTAATTAAGTGATTTCAAATGTTGATTCTATGAATATGATTTCCCTATTGTCTTTATTGCTTTAAACCTATTATAGTAATGTTTGTTTTAGCTGATAATGAAGCCAACTTCGTCTTTAAATAAAATAAAATTATGCAAACATAACATTCACAGAAAGAGAGAGCAGTCTTAGAGATGTAGACTCGCTCATGTTTGAGGAATGTTGGCTGTAAAAAAAGAAAAGTAGGGGCTGGGGATTTAGCTCAGTGGCATAAGTACCTTGCCTTGCAAGTGTGTGGTCATGAGTTCAATCCCCGGTACTGATAAAAAAAAAAAAAAAGAAGAAGAAGAAAAAGAAAAGAAAAGAAGATGTATGATAGATGACTTATAACTGTAGTGGTTATGGTAGTCCAGAATTAAAGAAATATGTTGACAATTAAAGAGTGATACCTACGCTTTTTAAAATTTGATTTTTGGTTGTTTTTGAGAGTTTCATATTATGTAGTTTAGGCTGGCCTTGAACTCACTATGTGGCCCAGGCTGTCCTCAAATTTTTGGCCTCAGCCTCCCAAGTGGTGGGATTACAGGCACGTGGCATCACACCCACCATCATTTTTTTAAAATCTAAGATGATTTGTTCTGTAGTATTAAAACATCTTATGTAATTCTTCCTTATTACACTGTACCAGTTACCCATCTGCTTACAATTTGTCTCCCCTGTTTGTTTTTTACCTCTGCCACAGTCCCTTAAGGGCCCCTATATTGTATTATTCTATTGGTGAGACCCTACTTTAAGTTGATAATATCAATGGAAAGTCCATCATGGTACATGGTGCCCTTCTGTGCCCTGTGCAGAGAGATTAAGGCCTGAAAAAGTATGCATTTACCTGTCATCAGCAGGAAGCCTGATCCAAATACTGCAAGGAACCAGTGAAGCTGCTTGGTTCTTTGTGTCTTTGGTGAGTGAATTTAAACAAGACACCTCAGCTTGTGTGCAGAGTATGCACAGAGCTGATTGTTCAGCAGAGCCATAGTGAAGGAAGGCACCTTAAAGCATGCAGGTACCAATATGCCAGCTGCACGGAATGAGGGCTCAGACTGCCTTAGTATGATTTGTATGAAGAAGCAGGTCCTCAAGGAGTATCATTTCCTTCCTTCCACACCACTGTTCTTTCACAAGAGAAAATGGGTTATTTTGACCAACTTCTGAGAGAAGAAAGAAGACTCCTGCTCTTGCTCCTGCCTGATGGGAAGAATATTTCTGTTTAGTTTGAGACCTTGAGGTTTTTCCAACTCTTCACTCATGGCTGGGACCTCAGTATGCTCAGGGGAGCTTCATTCTCTTGGGCTATAGCTTCAAACCATAAGCTTGTTTGGGTTTTATGTATAGCTAATGATTAAGAAAATAAAGAGAAATGTGTATGAGTCATCTCTCCCTTGCTTTTCCCATAGCCTCCGGCTGCCTGTCTCCTGCTAATATCTAACTTCTGCCTAATACTATCAACTATATATCTTTATTCATTTTAGCTTTATCTTCATAAAGGTTTCATTGAATAATATTAACAACAGTAAAACATTTATTATACTTCTGATAACATCTTGCAGTAAAGATCCATTCAGAATGCATAGAACTCAGTTATGCTAATATTAGCCAAGTAACAAGTTCTCTACTAAAAGCTGGAGTGGAACTGGCTCTGATTCCCAAACCTGGGGCATGGTTCTGAAGTTCCAGGTTATCTGCTCTTATGTTTATTATCCTCCTCATAAAAGATAGCACTACCTTTAAGATGTTTGGAAGAGGTCCACCCCACATCTTTTGACAGAGGACAACTTTCTGACATCCATGATGCGAATTAAACAGAAGCTGCTTTTGTTGCCTTTCTGTGGTTTTGATTAGAGTCTATCACACTAACTAGTTTTCCCTGTGTATTTTCCTGATTAGTGATAGATGAATTCACTGCCTCATGGACAGATTAGAGACCTTGGACAGATTAGCAACTCACATTTTAATCTTTGTAAGTTAAAGCATTTTAAAGTAAATTATAGACAATATTTCATCTGACTTAACTCTTATAAAAAGACTATAAAACTGATTTTAGCTTTATCCCAACTTCTTAGGGAAGACACTGAGGTCTCCTAAGTAGCAAATACCAAATCCAAAATCTACTTGGCTCCAAAACTCAAGTTCTGAATTATTTGAATTAGAAGAGATTATTCCAGCTGTAATTAGTGCTGGTACTTTAAACACTTTTATTTGACAACTTACAGAAAGATTAAAATGATTGTTTGAAGCTATTTTCCTCATTATTTTATGCACTGTGCTTTGGGAAGATGGAAAATAAGACAGACAGTGGTCCATAAACTGCAATCCCTTATCCACTGAAAATAAAAACCAAGAAGTTGGAGAAGTAATCTCAGAGTCTTTGCTTATCACTGCTGCTAATCAGAAAGTTCCACACGTATAGGTTAGGCTATGGATGTGTCTGTATCAGGTTAGGACATTGGGGTTCTGTGTTCCCTGAGAACTTCATCTGGAGCTGTGAGCTAAGGCCACACTGACTGAAGGTAACCTCAGGTGTACTTTTGTGCACGTTAGAGTTATTTAATTGGACTGAGGATGTAGCTCAGTAGAGCACTTCCCCAGAATGTGCAAGGTTTGACCCCAGTAATACAGTGCAAGGTGTCAGCCAGGTCCTGTGGTTTACTCGTGCACCCCAGAATTGCAGAGAGGCTGAGGCCAGCCTGAACTACTTAGTGATAGCCATCTCCGGGAGGAAATAAAACAAAGGGAGGTGGTCAAATCGCAGTTACATACCCTAAACTACGGTCGCACGTGGAATGCCATTCGACTCCATTAAAACCTGGTTTATTTTGCATACTTTCCTTCCTTTCCAGAATGCCGTGTCCTGAAGTCATCCTACTCTCGATCTTCAGCTGTTAAGTATTCCGGATCCAAAAGCCCCGGGCCCTCTCGTCGCAGCAAATCACCAGCTTCAGGTAGGAATGGGAGGGCGGTGGCCACTCAGGGCGCAGGCTGGTACTCCTCCTTGAATTCTCTTGAATGTTTATAAACCAGTAGTCCGTGCCAGGCTGATGTGCAGCCGGGTACCAGAACAGCAGAGAGAGGATGTGAGTTTTAAAACTGAGAAGTTAAAGTCTGTTTGCCAAAGTTGTGAGTCTCCCAAGAGATTTGCACATTTTGTTCTTCATGTTCTCAAGGAAACCTGTATTACCTAAAGCCTTCTCCTGCTTTTTACGTGGAAAGCTTTCACAATTTGACCACACTTTTTATGTATTTATTTTAGTATCATCTCTGATGGTGTAAAACATTCACTTCACGCAAAAATGTATGTACTTGATAAATTCCTGCTGGCTTTTCCTTTGTTGAGCACTGATTATCACTGGAAAGGCTGTGCTTACGGAAGTCAGATACCCTTCTAATTAAGTGTCGTCAGTCCTAAGCCTATAGATGTGTCAAAGTTTTCAGTGGGTGTTTTTGGTAAACGTTAAGAACCTACATAAATATCTCAAAAGCTTGATTCTGTGGGTTTGCTTACAGAAATTAAGAATAGTTTGCTTAAGGAATGAATTAGGTGAAGCCTTGATTTATCAGTTAGGATATCTAGAATACGTCCACATAGGATCAGTGAAAACCATTTTGGGCATCAAACTTCATAGACTTCTTGGACTTTGCACTTTTCTCTGCTTCCCTCTGCACCCACATCACTCTGTAGGGCAGACTGATTTACCTTTCTTTTGTAGTCACATTTAGACTGCTGAATAACCACTCTCCTTACTGTCTCCTCCCTTGCGTGTACTGCATGTGTACAGTAAAGAGGGGTGGCCACTACTCCAGTGCCTATGCTACAGCCAAATCCCCAGGTGAGCCACGAGCGTTATGGCTGTGTTGCTGTGCTGGATTTTGTTTTTGTCTTTTGCCACCTTTCTGTTTCCTTTTGCTCCATTTCCATGAACGTATCTGGCTTGTTCCAGTGTGTATTCATGCAGTACGAAATGCTTCACAATGTGCAGGGCGCTTCGGCCTCCTCTGTTTAGCAGATGAACCTTTCTCACCATGTGCCCATTTGTGCATAGTTGAGACACAGTGATCGAGGAGACACTGGCACCTCGAGAGGATCCGCGTCCTAGCTCATCTTAGAGGTGTTGTTAGTACTGTTTGTTAGTCACACAGGATGGCCAGAAAAACAATTACACATCACTTCTCCCCATTCCTTCTAAGTTAAGTGCTTAGCAATCATTTAAATCTTAGATTTTGAAGGACTTGATAATAGAATACACCAGAATAGGATTGTGAGATGCTCCCTGTACATAGAAGGCTGCAATATACTTTCAGTTTTCAATTATTTTCACAAAGTTACAGGCTCAGTATGCTCTTGAATATGACAGCTTATACTTTATTTTAACTAAAGATATATGTCTCTGCTGTTGACCTTTTGTAAATTGTAAAATAAGTTTGGTTTAAAAGTCAGGTATGATTCAGTTTTGTCCACTATCGCCCAAAGAGAAGAATTAACTAAAAATGTTAATTAGAATTAACTAAAATGTTGAACTAAAAATGTTTTGCTACCACATTTGCCCTCCAGACAGACTGCTCTGTCTTGAGTCTAATATTATGCATAAATAAATGATTCTTTTAGATTTGAACTTGGTGTGATTAAAAACTGATGAAAGATAATTGCAGCATTCTGGTACCCAGAACCCACATTCGGGTGGAGTAGGTAAAAGTTGTGAGACTTTAATCACATTTCCAAGGGCAAATGGTCTGTGTAAGGGTTTAATCAAAGTGTGTTCTGCACTTAACTGCAGTTGTAGAGGACTGCAAGCCGGGGTCAGCTGCTGGCGGCTTCACTGAGATTCTGAGGAAGCTTCCTGTGTTTTTCATAAAGCTGCTCCATATCCACAGTGCTTTTTCCCCATTCTCTATCACCAGCAGGAAGAGAGCTTTTTATTATTAGGAGCCACAGTACCAGAAGTAGTAGTATTGTTTTTTGTTTTTTTTTAACAAACTTATTTAGCTGTGGCATACCTGTTGCCATTTTAAAATTTGCAAGAAAGTCTGGCATGTTGGTGCCCATCTTTGTCCCAGCTACTGGGTCAGCTGGGCAGAGGGTCAGTCGATCCTAGGAGTTCAAGGCCAGCTTGGCAACATGGAGACCCATGGGTCAAAGAAAACAATTCTGAGGGACTGACTGGACTTCCAGGCAGAGCAAGTGACTCTGTAAGCATAATACAATATCAAGTGCTCTGTTGAATAAAGTCTTCTGATTTGTTAAATCCTTAACAAAACTTTGTCAAAATAGCTAAATAGTAATGAACACATAGACATTAATCTGGATAATGTAAGTGGGTAGTTACAGTAGGTTAAACCTTAAAAATTCATATTTCAGGTTTTGAGCTTGTGAATGAATCTTGAATAGTCTACCAAGATAAAAATTATTTGGAGCCAATAAACAAAGCCCCTCAAGTTTCCTTCCTCTTCTTGAATGGAAGGGGATGAGATCTTCAGAGAGACAATCAGGGAGTAGTGAGGAAGGGGAGCGTCGTGAAGGTGCTGGCCAGTCATCTGGGGCAGGGACGCCCCAAAGCCAGTCCTGAGCCACAGTTGCTGACCGGAAATGTACCAGTCAGTGAAATCATGGGCTTCTTATTAAAGAACATTTTTGAGACCCCCCCCGACCCCATTGAGAACTGTGAGGCTATGCATACCTAGTGTCTCTTTAGAGTGAATGTTAACGTGGAGGAAATACACATATCTATGTAGTTATTGCCATGCATGAAGTGGTTGGTGGTGCATTTAGCTAGGATGCTCTGCCCAGGCTGGGGTGATTTCCTCAGGCTGTCAGCACAACCATGTGCAGGAGCAGGGTTTTCTCCTGTGCCCATTTCAAGGAAGCCTTTGTGCTTAGCACGGTGTCTAATAGTAGTGAGAGCTGACTGCTGATTCCTTAGAAGCTGGTGACCCATCTAGATTATCACATGGGACAGGGAAGGGAAAAATGAAACTCAGTCAGGACTCTAAGCAGCTTACTAATTTATCACTCACAACAATCTCTATGTTGTGTGAATCCTTTGAAAGAATTTTTTTGAGTCCAGTTATTCAAGCAGTTTTTAGGTTCACAACAAAATTGAATAGAAGGCACAGGTTTCCTGTGTACCTCCAGCCCCCAAGCACCACAGCCTTCCCCATTCTCACAGACTCCAGCAAAGTGGCACTTTTCAAGAATATTTTCTTCCAGCCTTTAAATTTTTTTTTAAATTTATTTTGAGACTGTCTTAAGTCTCTAAGCTGCTCAAACTGGGATCCTCCTGCCTCAGCCTTCCTGACTGCTGAGATTGTGGTCACGTGCCACCATGCCTGCCTTAAAATAGTGTATTTGTTTCAGCACTTCATTATCATCCAAGGTCCTCAGTTTGCAGGAGCAGTCACTCTTGCTGTTGTACATGCTATGGCCTGGCGAAAAAATTTTCTAATGGTAGTGTAGTGTCACAAAGATAGTATCAATGCCTTTATGCCCTGCCTCTTTTAAAGAATTTTTAAGAAATAACAAAAATTGAAATTAACTTGAGGAATTATGAGGGCTGCTGAATACTCTTAAGTGTTTCTAATTGTGCAGGTGCTGGTGTTGTATTGAGTACCATATAAATTTGTTAAAATCTAGGGAACCGAACTGAGTGATTTAGAGTCAGAAAAATTAAAGTTTGGAAATTTAAAAATAAGTGAAAAACATCACATTGATCGAGCTTTTAAAATGAGCAATATAATAAATAATGACTATATCTGTTAACAGATGATTTATCTAATCACAAATATCTCCTGATCCAGATTTTTCCATTTCTATTTAAGGACCTGTACTCACTTTTGGAGCCACCTATTCAGGGCCTTTACCTTTTTGTACTTATTCAGGGCATTTGGATTTTTATATTTAGAATTATCTAAACTCTCACACTTTAAAAGAAAGGGAGATGGATTTTGCTTTTTTTCTCCATAAAGATGAATGGCAAGATTCATCCTCTTTGGGGAAGAGCTTTGAGGATTATTAATAAAAGGGTTTACAAGTACTGTTTAGAGCAGAAAAAGGTACTAATGCTGGATGTTAAAGCAGCTCTGTGAAGCCACTGCAGAAGCAGATGCAGTGATACCACCAGGGGTGAGTGGTATTAAAACCACCCAGAGGGGGCGTATAGAAAAGCTACCAGGGTTGCTAAGTAATGAGGAAATTAAGCCGTGAAGCAAACAAAAGGGAAGGAATTAGAAATAACTATCCTAGATTTTTAAAAAGTTGAGCAATGTCTTTTATGGCCTTTAAGCAAATAAATAAATAGTAATTTTCACTTTTTCATTAAGAATATTCATAACAGCGTGGAGCGGTAGAGCCACGTAGAGTATGTGCCTAACATGTGTGAGGTCCTGGGTTCAATATTGAGTTAAAAAAATGTGCTTAGAAAATACATTTGGGTTGTGGTGTGATCGATGTGAAAGCGCTATAAGAACTTCACAGTCATTCAGGTTGTAGTGCACGAAGACAGTGGGTGGATGCTAGTGGTTATGGAACAACCTTCCTGGTGAATCACAGCAGCCAGGCACTAACTTTCTGAGAGCCAGGACACAGGGCTGAGTACTGACACACACCTCCAATTCCACACTGTCCGAGATACTTGATAAACAAATGCCACTGTTGGAAAACTGTTAGTGAGAATAATTCTAGTTTGCTCCTTGTCTGATTTTTTGTTTTTGTCTGTAATGCAATGGAAGACATTATTTTTGCTTCTTTGCTGATTTGCTATCTGCTTTGAGCTTTATTTTAAGTAAGCTGCAGTTTTAGTGGAGCTATCCTGTGCATGTAGTTCGTGGTTTTCACACAATCTAGTTGTTTGGGGTTTTGATGGGCTTTGTCTCCTTTGTTGTCTCACGGTCAGTTAACGGAACTCCCAGCAGCCAGCTTTCCACTCCTAAATCTACGAAATCCTCCAGCTCCTCTCCGACCAGCCCAGGAAGTTTCAGAGGACTAAAGGTATGAAATAAGATGATTTTGCTGTTTTGAGGTGTGTACTTGAACTCGTTCAGTTTGTTTAGGGGCTTGAGCGCAGGGACAAATAGGAAAATGTGTAGCCATTTGGAGCGGGGCAGGACCAACTCTGAATGCTGTCTTGCTGTCCCTTTGATCAGCTTTCTTAACTTTGCTCAAAGAAAGCGTTCTCATCTTTAAAACAGGAATGCCAGGTTGTGGTTCAGGTTGAACATAACACACTGAAATACAATAAATATTTTTCCATTTGTCAGAATGGTTGGTAATGGCAAACCTTAGGAGAATAACATAATTCCTTTTAAAATCTTACTAAGAATCATAGTTTGAATATTAAGGCAGCTCTCACATAATTTGACTTTGCATGGTCTAAAACAGAGTATATGCTTTTATGCTCACAAATGGACGTTGAAGAGTATTTTTCATTAATAAACTGACTGGTAAGGGCCCCACCAGCCTTGCCTGAATAACTAATGAGATCCTGCCAGGCCTAGCATCCTGGCCCATTCATTAAAGTAGTGTGTGAGGTCTAGTTGCCCCACTTTTCGGGACATAACATTCTCTACTCAGCTGTGGATTTTGCGTGCCCTACCCTGAGGATGGTGTTTCTGAGTGAATCTGAGGGGTGTGCATCAAAGTGCCTGAGCACAAGAAGATAAATTCCATCAGGACAGGACAAGGTGTTTGTTTTTATGCTTGTGCACTCAGGTACTTGGATACAATTTGGACAGAGGCTGACAGTAAGTTTAGGGGTAAAGAGTCCATAGCTCTCATCTGCTTCTTATTACTGGAAACTGCTATTTATCCAAAGAGTCAGGTACATTGCAGAAGCAGTAAGTTGACATAGGTAACTTTGTATTGATTTTGATGAAATTCTTAATTGGCAATTCCCCCAAAAGTTACACAAATTAAAAACCAGTGATTGGCTGATTATTTTCAGATTTCTTTTCCAGTGTATTTTCTCCATAACGGGTTGGCAGTGCACTGTTGTTAATCTGAGTAACTTTAAAGAGAATTAAATTAAAAATAATTCAGGGGGATTAGCCTCTTGTCTGGTTCCTGTTGTGTACATTAGTGTAAAAGACTAGTGCCTCCTGGTGCTGTCATCCTAGGACAAACCCAGCATGAGGTTTCTAGGGAGCCACGTGCAAAAGTCACCAGCCTTAGGCAGGATTGTGAGTTTGATGCCGGCCTGGTCAACTTATAAATAAGACTGTCACACCATAAAAAATTAAAAAGGGCTAGGGTGTGACTCCATGTAGAGCACCCTTGGGTTAAAAAATAAAAAGTCACTCCAAAGCAGGAACGGGATCCTTGCTGTGATCAGCAGTTGGGGCACCTTAGTGCTTGCTTACCCTGGGTCTTCACCAGTTTCCCCCTTTTAAATTACTCATTAGTAAAGTAGGCTCCCTTATGTCTTCTTAGTCTGTTGTTAACTCTAAGCCCAAGATAAGTCCTTTTCTCGTGTCACTAGGTCATTGACATTGCTTGCTAGCAATAGAGACCACAGCCTTAGGGCCCAACAGCTACGCCTCTGAAGAAGATGCGTACTGATGTGTGTACACACCCATTCCTTATAGGAGTGTTACAGGAGCGTAAGGCCACTTGCACTTGTGGAGTGAAAATTTGAGACTCTTTTAAACATGACAGTTACTTATACGTATGTTGAACTATAAGGTGGACCAGTTGCAGTACTTCTATGCTAGATATGTATTAATTTCTATAATAGCCCCAACATGGAGGACATAGTAAATGCTCAAGGAGTTTTTCATCAGTGCTCAAAGAGATAAAGATAGATCATTTGCTGATGAAATGTCCCACTGAAGATGAGACTGTAGGTGAAAGAGTAGCAGTGTTCCCTTGACTACCTCACCTGCTCCCTAAGCCTGAGGCTATGAATTCTTGCAGAGCATAACACCAATTTTGTTTCAAGGCATGTAAACATGGCTCTGCCAGACCCATGTTTATTGATTAGAATATTTCTATTGATGAATGATTAATTTTATGAGTTTTGTTATGTTAAACAACAAATACTTAGCAAGAAATATGTCACAAAAATATTGAATTTTTAACATTGAGTATATAAAAATGCATCAAAATTTTCAGCATCAAGCATCTTTTGGTGTACTAAGTCTAACAAAGAACATAAATACAGTCTTAAATGAACTAAACTGAAAATGCCAATTAGCACCTTATAAAAAAAATCTTGACCTCAGTTATCACACCTAAGGCAGTCTGCACACATGACAACAGCATGTTCCATATACACATACTGCTTACACTGATAGCACATGTGTTTTGATTTCCTGCCCTTTTTGTGGGACATGCTTGACATCTTAGTGGTCTTGCTGTTTTATCAGGAGGTTCTTATGTATTATTCAGTATGTAGTTAGTAGGAACATAAATTATTCTTAATTTGTATTGTACATTTGAAATAAACACCAACATTTTCACATCAGCTGTGTATTTGCTTATAAAACCTAAAAAGCAACATCGGAAGTAAATTCCTATATGAACTACAGTGAAAATACCAATAAAACTCTACCACAAAAATAAGCTTTGCTTCAAAGGTCACAGCCAAGGCAATCTTCACATCATGACAACTGCATGTTACATTAACAAGTATCGCTTACACTGATGGCATGTATGTTTGGTCGTCTTGGACTTTCTTATATGGCACAGTTGACGTATTTTTTTACTTTCCTGCTGTTTAGGAGGTCTTGTGATGCTGTGCCTGCCTGCTCACGTGCCCGCTCACCAGTGTGCTCCACAATTTTTTTGTGTAGTTCCCTGGGAAGAAAGATTTTGATTTCCTTCTGCTATAAATGATCTCTTATGAGTTCCAGCCCCAATCCTGTAGGGAAATTTCCACAATATTTTGCACTTATTTTCTTTGTAAACTATAGGGCCATTTATGCCAAATATGTTTAGGATCAAGTAAAACAACCATTGGCAATGCTTTGTGTTTCACATGACATTCTAGTTGCTGCATAACTCATCATCAACATCAACCTTTGGTTTTGTTGCAGAAAGTTTCCATCCCAGGCTTCCATTTTGTCGAGGTTTCCCTATCAATATTCTTATCATGGTGAAATTTTGATACTAGCAGTACGAGTTTGTTTTTCTTTGCCATATAAGAAGTCTGTGTTACATCTTTTTGAAATCCAAAGATTGTACTATATGTTTTGAAATTGCAACATTTCATTTGGAATTTCCATTTTGTCCCTGTTCCTGCCACTAGTCAACTGTTATGCTCTGTTAGCAAATGTAACATCAATTTGAAGCTGGTAAACCAGTTGTCAAATATCACATTCTAATTAATTTGGGAGATGGGAGCAACAAGTCTGTTCACAATATTATTTGGTGTATTATTATACGAATAAGGACCCGCTGGCTGAGTTCCAGGATACACATCTAAACTGAAAGCATAATCAGACTTTGCAGCTACAAGGGAATAAAGTTTTATGCCATATTTTGACCCACTCCTTTTCCATAAGTCTTTTCCATGTCTGCCATCACCAAGATAAATTCCTGCTAAGGACAGCAAACCTATCAATACTGTCAGTTCAGCTAGTGAGATGTCATAACAGATTTTTAAAATAAGGCACACAAAACTTTTTACTTGCCTTTCAGCCTTTGTGTATTTCACAGCATTTTGTAACATTTTGTCTGTTACAGTTTCTAACATTGAACAGCAGTGCTGGCATTCTGTCCAGTACCTTTGAACCCTGCCAAGACCCTCACTGTATTTTTGGACCTAATTTTAACATTGGATTGTTCCATTTGGTGGTATGGCCATTTTGCAACATTTCAACTAGTCAAATCTATACTCACATTGCTGTTTTCTTTGTCATCTGAATCAAGGAAGTCTACATCCCCTGTGTCTGTATCAGTGGATTCTTGCTCCATTTCACTGCCGCAGGAACTTTGGTTCACATGGCCAACATCAAGGTCATCATCATCATCGTCATCATCATCATCATCATCACCATCATCGTCATCATCATATATCCATTCCACCCTTCTGTTTTGAAAGCATGCATTTTACCATAATGGACCATCTTCATCATCCATGCATGAGTAATTTGATGATTCACTCTTGACTACCTCCAAAACGTGCAAATCTGGCTTTTCATGTGCCCTTGTACTGAATTGGATTACTTCTGCCAGAAAAATCAGAAAAAAATTTTTTAACAAATCCTGGAGTGGTGTGTGGGTCTGTGAGACCCTTTGTGATGCTTGGGTAAACATGCACAAAACAAAATTACATTGAGTATAAATTGGGTGAAAGTCCCAATTTGCCACCTTCGCACACATGCCCACATCTTGCTGTTTGTTATACCAAGTGGGTAAACACATAGATTGTTTCCTGAATCCCTCATTCTCAGATTAAATGCAGCCTGAGATGCCCAGCAAGCTACTATGATGCCAAATACAAAATATACAATAGAAAAGTAAGGGATGGGTCCTCAGACCCAGCCTTCTGTTCCTAGCTCTAAAACCTCTAGGTTTTCTTTTTCTCATCTGTTAAGAAGGCGATTGATTTTAAATGACCTTCAAAGTGGGATTATAGACCTTTAATTTGTCAAGAACAAAACAACCCTGTCTAAAATGCTATGTTATATCTCTTCTTCTTACTTGAAAGCCAATTTAAAATTACCAAAATTAACTATTTAGTCACTAAGTGAAGCACTGCTACACTAATTTGGCTTTTGAGCCACATTCCTAGCCAGTGCCTTGGATCCTGCCTTGTGGAAATTTCACCCCTTTACATTCCTGACAGCATGTAGTGTGCATTTTCATTGGGATGAAAACTTGCTTTTCAAGCAGATTCATACATAGTCAAGTTACTCAGCTCTACCAAATACCCTAATTTTAATGTCTTTGTAAAACTCTAGTTAGCATCTGTCCATATGTGCATTTCTCTTTGTCTTTTCAGTGACATTAAAAATGGAGAATTATAGATAATTACTACGTGTTAGTGCTGT